TTCCCCAAGAAAAACCGCGCATGCGCATTATTCACTCGACGATAAACAGAGAGCTATAAAGCTAAGTGATCAAGTCGCTAAAATTACTGTATGAAACAAGAAGTAACAAAAAAGAAGGAATGTAAATATACTTTACTAACCATTTTGTACAACAGAATATTAAAAACTTATCAACGTTTTTAAAAAAGGTTTGTCGTTAGGTCGTAAAATAACATTATAAGTTTATTTATCGATAGTATTAAGTACACTAAAGTTTAGTCCTAACTAAACTAAAGTAAAAAACAAACGTACACAAGTTACAGTGTTAATTTATCTCTTTATCGAACTTAGGCCTAAATAAGTTAAAGTTTTTATAAAGTACGGCCTATATACAACTGGATTTACATATTTCGTTGTCTACGATTACAATTCATTGGCATTGTGCTAGAAATATTTAAAGAAGTACTGTTACGATAAAGATACTAATTTAACCGGAAATGTTTTGCGGGTCTCTGCTAGTTAATATTATTCATTCGAAACTTCGGTATTTCTAATACTTCATTCTGTGATGATGGATTTAAATAAGATAAGATATCCGCCTTCACTGACGTCTTTTTTAAACTAATTACAAAGTTATTGTTAAAAAAAATAACTGACCTGGTAATAAGGGTGCTCAGCTCGCGATCTGCGAGTTCGTTAGTAAAAAAGTAGCCCAACAGATGGAGGTGAGTGGTATTGACTAGCTGTCTTCCCTCTAGTCTGTTTCTTCAAAATTAGGGATGCTAGTTCAGTAGTTTTGCTCGAAATTCAAAAACAAACAAATAAAGATCTTAACGTCAGAGAATAATTTGGGTGGAATAAGATTCTTATTGGATGTGGTACTTTTCTGCTGTTTTGTTTGTAAATGTTAGCTTAAATTAAATTTCTTGCTTTTGAATTAAAAAGTACTGAGTGTAAGTAAGCATTTTTCGTACAGTATGTTAGCAAAGCTCACATTTTCCATTTATTTTCTGTTAAAAATATTAATACACCAAAGAAAGCAGTTGGGTATTTGATCATAACATACTGAAGCAAGTATCTGAATATATTATTTATTCATAGCTAATGTAACAAATATTTTACACTACAGTAAGAAAAATCGGAATGTTAACACCAGGATTCTTAAGAATAAGACAGAGTATTTATTTGAACTTTCACAAATAAAACAAAATGTGCTCACAATACGAAACTGCCAGACTCTGGCTTATACAATTAATAATATAAACATCAAAGAACATTTAATTTAATAATATAATTTTAACGCGAAAAATGAGGAAAAAAACAGCACTAAGTTGTTGTTTTCTTTGTTCAAAGCTACACAATATACTATCAGCACTCCACTGATTACGATGAACCGTAACCCGGATTTTAGCATTATAAGTCTTTAAATTTATCGCAGACTTCGAAAATTAATCAGAAAAATCTGTTTGATATTATATTTATAAAGTATTTTAAAGGAAAAGGTTAAATAATTTGAATTATATTCCGAGACATTGATGTTCCTTAGCATATGCAGAACAACAAAAAACACATGGTCTTCAGATACGTTCTACAAAAAAAAATATGGGGAAGTCACATTACCAGGTTTATTTAGATAAAATTCCAACGTAACCTTGATGTCTGTTCTGGGTTATGAAGTATCAAACAAATAGGTATGTCGTCCTACCTGCAAGTTAGACTAATCGAGGGACAATCAAAAGACAGTGCCTCTTTCAAAAAATTGTCAGTTTGTTCATGACCAGATATCTAGACCTAAATAATTATTCCATCAGAACGGGTAAAACAGTCATAAAGAACTCAACACTCTCACAGAAAACCAGAGTGGTTACAGCTCCATAAGAAAAGAAACCAGGACGATTAGAACCCCTGTAAAACATCAAGCTAGAATGATAACATTAACCCTGTAACAAGATTGCTTAAAGAGTCTCAAAAGAAAACAACTTGAGAAGAAGAGATAGGAATATTAACCAACCAGGATAACGTTAACACAATACCTACATAATCACCAACAAAACTAAGAGTGATTCGAGAGACGATAAGGCAAAAGTGATTTAGAGTTTTATAATAAATAGCCCAAGTGGTATGCCCTGTACAAATCATATAAATAGTCCACATAAATTCCTAAGTAGTTTGGAACTCTGATATTTAAGAAACATATTTTGCAAAATAACTCCTTTTCTAGGAAGTTCTGCAAAGAGTCCAAGGGGGAAGATCCCCTGTACAACCTGAGGTTCTAAGCGAAAGAGCGCAAGAGAAGAAAAGGTTTCAAAAAGAAGTAAAACCATCAGCACACACAAGAAAAATAGGACGTGTATAGCATATCACCAACAGAGATGAGCATAGGAAAAGTTATCAAGGAATGAAAGAATGAAGGTCCCAGAACGTTAAATAAATCTAAATGCCCACTGACCTATTTACCACTGTCGTCATAGTGCCAAAGGTGCCTCAGAAGCCAACATTTATAAAGCATATGGATTCCAAGCAAATGCTAAGATCTTATTTTGAAGGGTATTTGGTTTCCGAAACACATTAAAAGCAGAATCATAAAGAGCACAGTCTTAATTAATTTTGAACGAATTAAATTACGATAGAATAACAAAAGGGTTCCACATGAAGTATTAGAGACAGTTCTAAGATTAATACGTTTCAAACAATCATCAATTAAAAAGAAAACGTAAGATTCCAAGTTCAATAAATATCCAATATCATTAAGGTTTTTATTTCTGATAATAACGAGATACCCGTATCCTTAGTATGAAGCTTGATCATGCTATCATTTTTCGTACGTGCAATAACCGTATATTAGCATTTCATTGCAAAGAAGGAAAATTCTAACGTATCAGCCAACAT